CTACTAGACCTATTAAAGTAATACAAGTAGGTCAACATAAAAGAGGAGTTCTTTATATTAAGCTAGTTTGTAGACGCGACTACATTTGTAGTACTATAGATAAGTTACTTAAGTAAAATCAAGCCTGTCTTCTAGTTATTAATACATAGAAAGGAGGTAGCTACAAATTAGCAAAACAATTACTAAACTAATAGTAGCGAGGTTATTAGTAAGAGCTAATAGACTTACGCTAAGGACAACAATAACTTTAGATCGCTATATTCGTAGTATACGCTAGAAACAGACTTGTCTAAATAAGTCTAAGGGTAGTTAGGCCTTACTTACGTCTACAGAACATTATATTTTGTTTAGGACGCTTTATTTTGTCTAGTACTACTACCTAGTTTATATACCCCTTTTTTTAATTATTTCGCTTTTAACAACCTTTTTTTATACTCGGCCTAACACAACATTTACTTTATATGCTTTACTACACTTTTACACTATTACATTATGTTTGCTCTGTTTTATAGCTTATACTAGTAAGGGCGCTAGTCTTTTCGTAAAAGGGGGGTAGCTGTTATAGTCGTATAATAGATAGAGGTACGCGCCTATAGGGCAGGTGTACTAGACACTAGGACACATGTAAATAGACTAGTAGAGAGGAGAAATACTACCTATCTTCTACTAAAACCATTAAACGCTACTTATATAGTAATAAACTCTGTATCCTAGGTATATACCTTAACGCTACTAATAACATCCCTTTATTCTAATGCTGTAACACTACTTCTTATTACTACTATAGCCGCCTTAGTAGAGTCTACTATAGAGTTAGTCTAATACACAAATAATATGCCTTATATATACATTCTCTCTCTCTAAGTACCTGGCTTATACAGATCTATATAGCCTATATTAAGCTAGGCTATCTTACTAGTAGCTAATATAGGCGTAAGACGTACTATATTAATCTGTCCTACTAATACGTTAGGCTGATTTAGGGTTACTAGCGCCTGATTTAAGGCTACTAGTAGTAGATGATTTAGGGCCGGCGGCGCTAAGCTTAATAGTAGCTTAAAGGCAGAAGGATCCTAACGTGTATTAGATAGTACTACTTATATAGTACTACCTAAAGTACCCTTTAGACAGCCTCTTTCTCTAATTAGAACAGGATTAAGAACTAGTAGTAGTTAAGTAATAGATTATTAAGGAAAGATACTTAATTCTAGCCTATTATAGTACTTGTTGTAAGAAACCACTGGCCTTATCACGTGGGGTTAGCAGTCACGGGACTGGGATGCTCTAGAGGCCCTAGTCTAACCTAATCAGGGTTAGCAACCCGTTAAAAGTTAGTTGTTTACTATAGCTATAGAGGCACTTTGTATGATTACTTTATTTAGTCAATTTAATTCATTAGTTCCTGTAATACGACGATAGATCAAATATCCCGTGTAACATAGTAGTAATACTATTCGATCTCCTCTAACACTAAATTCGAATTCAAATCATTCGATCTATCGATCTATCGTAAGATTTGTTATAGTAAAGCCTGTTTTTGATTATAGTACATCTGTCGATCGAATAGAGCTATAGACAGGATCACAGAGCCTAGGGGATAACAACTGTATTACAGAACCCTAGACTAATCTACGATGTCTAACTTAACCGCGCTTGCGAGTAGCAAGAGGCTATAAGGCGAGAGCAACTTTCGTACTTAGAAGACAGATATGTACGACATACTTAAAGCTAATAGGCTTAACAGGTTTATATCTAAGAAGTATCCTGTCCCTAAGTCTTATAAGTATAGCGATACTACTACGACAAAAGAAGAGCTAGATTAGTATAACAAATAAAGAGCCGGTAACGCTATAACGCGTTAGGTCATTAAAGAGAACATATCGTCGGTTCTAGTACTTAATCTTATAGCTAAAGTAGACTTAGTAGAGGCTATGTAGACTAAGCTAGCTAATTACTACAAGGGCAAAGGGTTTACTTAGTAGTGTTAAGTAGCAGATAAGTTCTGGCTACTTAGATACGAGGACTATAATAATATAAAGAAGTTTATTAACGCCTTTATAACTCGACTTAAACAAGCTATATAACTAGATGTAGCGCCTAAGAGCGACTACCTGTACGCTATTATCTTTATTAATCGACTTGTAAAAGCCTTCCCTTAATAGGCTAAAAGACACTAATCCCTTTAAAACCTATAGAAGAGCGGCAAGAAAAGTACCCTATTACTCGACACATTAGTTATAGAGATTAGGGACAAAGCCTAGGCAAAGGACGGCGGATTAGTACCTTTATTAGTATCACTATACAGTAGTAAGCTAGATAATAAGGATAAGGGGAAGGGTAAGGGCAAGGATAAGGATAAGAAGAAGCTTAAGAGGAAGTAGTACTAACACTATAGTAAGCTCTACGTTATAAAGGATAAAGACGATTACTAGACTACGTTCCTAGAAAAGCGTCTAAAGAAGGACTAAAAGGAGTCTTTAAAGAGTACTATATCACTCTATATAGTAGGTAATTAGCAGCCTTAGATTAATAGCGCGCTAGGCCTTAGGGCTTTAAAGGTAGCGCTTAGATTAGCTACTTAAAAGGAGTTCTAAAAGGGGAACTAGTGCCCGGATATAAGGGCAACTTACTACATATGTAACGATAAGTCGATCTTCTATAGCTTTAAGGCAACTAAGTAGTTATAACCTGTTCTAATAGGCGCCGGATTAATCTAACTAGAGGGTTATAGCGATATTGTCCTAAAGGCTAAGGTAGAGGGCGATTAGTATCACGAACTACGGCTAGAAGGAGTTCTGTTTATTCTAACCTTTCCTATTAATCTCTTATTAGGTGTTAAGCTACTACGCTACGGCGGATCTATTATAAAGAGAGCCCTTCTAGACAAAGAAAGGGAGACGCTTGTACTCTATAAGGTCAATAATATAAGGGTATATCTATAGTTAGACTTGCCTAGCTACTATATTATAGTACTACTAGCTGCTCTTTAACAGGGTAAACTAGGAATCAAACTATAGTACAAGAGATTAGGGCACTTAGGCTTTAATAACGTCTAAAAGACCGTAAAAATCACTACTAGTATACAGATTATAGACGAGCCTATAGATACAGATCTTAGCGTTACAGTTCTCTATAAGCCCTATAAGCTATTAAAGCCACTACGCTTAGTTAGACGCTCTATTAAACACTAGCCTACTATTATACTCTAAGAGGTAAGTATAGACGTAGTAGAGGTTATCCTAATTAGATTCTGTAGTAAGCGCTACGCTACTATTATAACAGATATAGTAACTCGTACTAGATAAGGCTACCCTTATAAGAAGAAAGGGGAGGCTTACGATAAGATCTTTAGCTTTATTAACATAACAGAGCGTTAGTTTACCTTCTTTAAGATCCTTATATTAATAGTTAACGGTAGTAACGAATACAGTAGTATCGCGTTAACTAGCGTCTGTAAGGTAAAGGGGATTTAAGTCAAAGAGACTATACTATATACCCCTAAGTAACTAGGCGTGTCTAAGATCACAAACAAGATTATAGCTAGATAGCTACAATCTACTATAATTAACTAGAACGTCCTTAAAGAGCTGTGGCTAGAGTTACTAGAAGGGACAATTTATGTTGTTAACAGAACAGCTACGTTAGCTATTAAGGGCAAAACCCTATATCAAGCCTTTATAGATTAGCTATACCTAAATCAAGACAACAAGCCGTCTATAGCTTACCTACAGGTACTTAGCTATAAGGTATATGTTTATATCCTAGATTAGAGACAGGTTAAGTTAGGGAAGTTTGATAAGCGCGCTAAAAAGGGGATCCTTCTTAGTTTTAAAGGCTACTAAATATACCGCTATTACGTGCCCTTAAGAGCTTATAAGATCGTTAGATTATTAAACGTAAGATTTAACAAAAGAGGTTTTGTATTAGAAGTATTAGATAATAGGATGTAGTTACTACTAACTAAACCGCGCCTACTAACTAATCTACTTATAGATTTAACGAACGCTAAAGGCAAAGATAAAGCTAAAGATTAGGAGCTAGCTAAAGATTAAGATCTAGCTAAAGTAGCCGAAATAGCTAAGAAACCGCCCCTTACTACTACTAATGTTAATCTACTAGCTAATACTAACTCTACTATAGAACAGATCTAAGATTAGTCGACTACTGCCTTACCTGATTTAGTAGCTATTAAGTACGGCCGAGGGCGCCTAAAAGGTTTAAAGAACAAGCTAAAGGCAACTCTAGCTCTAGCTTAAGCTCTAGCTTAAGCTTAAGACTCTATGCGTTCTATTAACCTTAAAACTGCCTAAATAACTTGATCCTAATCACGTTACATAACTAAGGAGGATATAAGGGATAATACTAAACAAGGGGTATAGTAATTAGCTTATTCTACTATAGTTATAGCGTTCTACGCTACTTACTAGACTATAGTTAAAGACGATCTAGAAAACGTCCTAATTACACATAAGGAGGCAGTTAGTAGCGTTAAGTCTAAGTAGTAGAAGGAGGCTATACAGAACGAACTCGACTTACTCGTAAAGAACGATATGTAGAGTCTAGTTAAGAGATCAAGCCTTTAAAAGGGTACTAAGGTTCTAGGTAGCAAGTAGGTGTTTAAGAAGAAAACTAGCGTTAATAGTTTAGTAGTACGCTACAAGGCCTACTAGGTAGTTAAAAGATATAAGTAACGCTACAGGCGTGATTACGATCAGACTTATACTAGCGTAGCTAAAAGCATGACTTAAAAGGTAATCCTAGCCCTAGTAGCTAAGGAAGACTAGAAAACAGAACAAATAGACTACGTTATAGCCTTTCTAAACAAAGAAGCCGATAAGGATATATATATAGAACTTCTAACTAGCTCTAGTAAAGATAACACTTATGTCTACAAGCTTAACAAGGCTTTGTATAGTTTAAAGCAGGCTCTATAGTTATAGTAGCTAAAGCTACGCTAAGTACTTATTAAGCTAGGTTTTAAGCCCTTAATAGCTAATAATTACATATATCGATACCCTAAGAGCGGATTAATCGTTATAACCTACGTAGACGACTTCTTATTAGTCGGCCTAAAAGGGAAAGAGCTAGCGGATCTAAAAGTAGCCCTACAGAACGCGTTTAAGATAAAGGATCTAGGTCTCTACTACTACTTTGTAGGCGTTAGGATCGTTAGGAACAGAGGTAACAGGACTATATCCCTTATATAAGACGCTTACGTTAAGAAGGTACTTAAACGCTTTAAGATAAGTGACTACAAAGCCTCTAAAACACTATTAGACCTAGCTTACATAAAGCTTATAGTTTTAAACCTAGATCACGCTATAGTAGATCAAATCAAACTGTATTAGTAAATCGTTAGTTTACTTATATACCTATCGACTTAAACACGCCTGGATCTGTACTATTTAATGTCTATACTATTACGCTATCTTACGAACCCTTTTACTAACTATATAAGCGCTATAAAACACGCGCTATAATACCTACGAGGCACGCCTAACTTAGGAATCACATATAGGGCTAGTAAAGGAGCGTTAGAGGGATTACATAGATATAGCGATTCAGACTACACTAGTTGTATAGAAACACAAAGATTAACTATCAGATATCTATTTAACTACTATAGTAGCGCGATATCCTTTAGATCAAAGCGCCTATAGGTAGTAGTACTCTCTTCTACAGAAACAGAGTACTATAGGCTCTCTAACGCTATAAGAGAAGCCGCCTAGCTAAGGCAGCTATTCTACGAGTTAGGTGTTAACTCTAAAGACACTAAAACGATCCGAATATATAGTAATAACTAAGGATCTCTAGCGCTAACAGATAACCTAGTTATCTACTAGAGAACTAAGTACATTAACGTATAGCACTACTATATTCGAGAGTAAGTCGCGCTAGGTAAAATAGAGGTTTGGTTTAAGCGTACAGAGGATATAGTAGCGGATAGCCTTACTAAAGCTCTAAAAGGACCTAAACACACTAAGTTCTTAAAGCTGTTAAATCTGTATACAGTAGCTATCCTAATTACCTAATTAGGACGATTCCTTGTTTCTATTTCTCTTTTCGGCATTAAAACAGTAGAAAGCTTACCGGTTTGCTATTTCTATTTCTTTTTTTAGTGACGGTAGCGGCAGAATCTCACCGGTCTGCTATTTCTATTTCCTCTTTCGGCATCTCACTCGGCAGAACGGCAGGCGGTGTAGAGTTTAGGCTAGATGGATGGATAGGACGTTACAGGCGTAGATTCAGGGGTGTGTTACAAGAAACCACTAGCCTTATCACGTGGGGTTAGCAGTCACGGGACTAGGATACTCCGGAGGCCCTAGTCTAACCCAATCAGGGTTAGCAACCCGTCAAAAGTTAGTTGTTTACTATAGCTATAGAGGCACTTTGTATGATTACTTTACTTAGTCAATTCAATTCATTGGTTCCCGCGATACGACGATAGATTGAATATCCCGTGTAACAGTACTAGTAAGGATGTATATCTTCTAGTAGAATTACTCTACTATACTACTTTCTTTCTTATATCTTATAGTAACAAGAAAGGCTAAGACAGTACTAAATAGAGTAACTATAGCTAGGCTTATTAAGAGGCAAGCTACTTACTAGTAGTTGTTTAAGCTCTAATAAGACCTTTTATAACGTATAGTTATAGACGAATTACTTAATAGTAGTAAAAAGAGAGATATTTGTACTATGTTTTAGGCGTAATTTCTACTACACTATAACTATTATAATGTTTACATATTACCTCTCTTAGAAAAGGTTTAATTTGTTAAAGACCCCCTTAAGATCCTTATAGCTACAGGTTAGGTAGGCCTTTATAGTAGCGTAAGATCCCTTTATTAGGCTAGTAATAGTAACTCTAAAGTTATAGTACTAATTAACCTAATAGGCTACTAAATTCTCTTTTTATATAAGCTATGTCCCCTTAATATAGCGTATAGCCTTAGTAAGGTATTTAGACCTTATTTCTACTAGTAATTTGTTGTAGCTATCCTCTATAGTACTAGCTAGTAGCGAATTCTATACCTTTAGAAAAGCGTTAAAGGTTAGGTATTACTTATATCTACTATTAGTATACTTAATTAGTTTTAGAAAGAAATCCTTAGTTTTAGCTAATACGTTTATATTAACGTACTACTAGTAAAGAAGGTAATAGGTTTAAGGGAATCGTGCCTAAAGACATTAGATTAAAGTAAGTTCCTTATTAGTTACTATATAAGTTAGCTCTTATATTATGTTGTCGACTATAACCTAGTAAAGTTAATTAATAGCCTAGTTATAATCCGGCTCTTTTTCTATAGATAAAAATACTAATCTAACCTGTATTACTATGTTATTACCTGTTATAGTACAGATATTTAGTAATAGTATATTAAATCTATTAGTTTTGTATGTATAATTAAGTAATAGAACATTAGGATTCTGCTTCTATAGTACTAGAGAGGTTAGATAGATAAAAAACAAGGACTATAAAGGTCTAGATTAAGGGTAATATTAAGTGTTATATCTGCTATTTTAAAGCTCTTATAGTAACAAGTAGGTTAGTAGAGTAATTAAGTAATAAGAGGAGAGAGTAATAGGCAGGGTATCCTACCTCTAAAAGCTACTATATTAAAGTCCTTTTACCTAATACCTTAATCCTCTCTCTTTAGATAATATTAGAGAGGTCTTTAGTAGAGAGTAACGCTTCTAGATCCTCTTAGTTAACGGTAGTAAGGACCTAAGAGGTAGACAGCCTAGACCTAGCTAGGCTACTTACTAAGGTATAGGTAGCTTTACTTAAAGAAGTAATTTAGTAGGTAAGATAGGTAGTAAGGTCTACTAATCTTTAGTAATTGTGTATAGCCTCTAGTACCTTAAGGATCTAACTCTAGAATATAAGATTAAGGCGTAACTTAACAGCTATCTTATAGTTACACTTCTTTAAGCTAGTAGACTAACGCTGTTTAGATTCGTAGGTATTAAGGTACTTACCCTTAGTGTTATACTTACCGGTATAATTACATGTAAATACCTTTCTCTTTAGCCTTCTATTACGCTAAATAATAGCGTACCTATTAGCCTTTACGTATACTTAGATAGTAGTAAACATAGCCTTAAGAGTAAGGTAAACAGCTTCTAGAAGAGCGGGGCTACAGGCCTAGTACGATATAGTAATATAAGAGGTAGGTAGTAGTAGTAGTAGTAGTAGAAAGTAGTAGTAGGATTATAGAGATATAGTGTTATAAATAGCTTTAATCTCTATTGTATCGTAAATTATATACTAGTACTAAAGGGACTTACGTTACTATACAAATTACTATAGTAACGCGAGTATAATAGGTATATAGAGTAAATTTAGCCTCTATACCCGATTAGGTATAGTAACGTAAGTTTAGGCGAGACCGACGTAGATTTAGGTAGGCCCTTTTTAAAAGAAAAAAAATAGAGAAAGTTAAATATAGTTTACTATAACGCTAAAGGTTGTATAGTAATCGTTTAAACAAAACAGTAATAAATGTGTACTAGTTCTTTAGGTGTATTCTTTTATATTCTTATAGTAGTAGTCTATTATTAAGGTTATAGCGTAGTTCTTATATGTTTTCTAAACTATTATATCCTTTCTATTTTATTAGAAAGAATCTATTCCTTTACAGCCTTTTGTATCTAAGGATAGCTTTTACTTTAAATATTTTCTTATCTAGAAAAGGAATGTCTACTAGGCTTATAAGTACTTTACTAACCTGTGCCCTATATAGTTCTAGGCTTGTAATTAGGAAGGTAAGGTAGACTTGTACTAAGGATAGTAGACACAACTTATAGGCGAGGCTGTAGTCTCTAACTATAGCTTTAATTTAGTAATTTAGTATAGGCTAATATACTTGTCTATAAACTTCCTAAAGGGTTAACGTTACTATAGGTACTTAGTTAATAGTAGGACCTAATCCCTTTTTTTTAAATAACATTTACTTACGTTTTTAATTATACTATTTTTTATACTAAAAAACAAACTTTTTACAACAGTCGTCTACGCCCTCTACTACCTTAAAAATTTAAAAACAAACGATTAATTTAAAATTAGTACCTTTAGATTCTTCTTAGAGTACTAGTAGACTATAGACGAGCCTATAGTAACAGATAGTAGGTATACTAGACTTAAATAAAGCTAGTATTACCTACTTATAAGTAAGAGCTAGTACTCTTATACCTTAACTAAGAGCTATAGTAAAGAGCCGGTAAGTAGTAAGAGTAGTAGTAACAATAAGATAGAGACAATTATATAAAGAATCAAAGCTTACGTAATACTAAGTAAGAAGGAAGAGGCGTCGCGTCTTTTACGCGACCTTATTATTGTAACGATAATAGTAGTAGAGATAAGAGTAGTAAATACAACGACTCTCTTACGTACTCTTAAGACCTCTTCTAATAACGACCTAGTAACGATTAGGTAATTAAGATTAATACTAAAAGAGGCCTTTTAGAGGCTAGTAGTAATAGCGGCCCTTTAGGCTACCTACGCGTTAGTAGTAAGCTAACGCTTAATAAGAGTACAGGTTATACTAGAGTAATAGATTAGAGAGCTATAGATTAGAGTAGACAGGTAAGTAAAGGACCTAACACGTTATAGTACTATTAAGGTAGTAATAGTAGCTAATATAGTAATTAAGAGCGCTAAGGTAGTAGTAACCTACCGGCTACCTAGTAGTAATACTCTTCTTACGTTTAAGGAGTCTATACTAAAGAACGCGATCTAGGATTAAGGCTAGGTATAGAAAGTGTTTAGGCCTATAGCCTAGCTCTATAAGAGTAAGTTTATAGTAATCGTAAAGGGCCTACTAGTAGACTAGATTATATAAGTAGAGTTAAGAGCGTTACTAGTAGAGATCTAGGCTTATACGTTATACGTTACAAAGGTTAAGGTTAAGCCTGTTAAGGCCCTTATAGTAAAGTTTACAATAATAGTACTATACCTTTAGAGTACTAAGGTAGTAATACGCTTATATAACTTAGGATTAATCTAGTAAGCCTAGATCTTTAACTACAAGCTATATTCGGCTAATCTACAAATCTAAAGATACTTCTAGTACTACTAGTTCGGCTATATTAAGCGATTCTATAAAAACCAGGCCTAGTACAGATACTATATAAGTATAGCGTACCCTTAAGGTAAGGAGAAATACACTTAACTTAATAGTAAGAAAAGATACGTTAACTATAG